GCAGAGACCACCAGCAAAGCAGACCAGGTCTGCTCTGAGCTTCTGCAAAGGCACCAAGATCATCAGAAGCAGGGACAGACAGACCAAGGGCCCAGGACAGCTGCTCCAGACAAAAAGGAAGATCAGAATTCTATTACAGGGACACTGAAAACAGTTAATGTCATTTGAGAACAGCTTGTGCCTACCTAAATGATTCTCTATGAAATAAACCAGTCACAAAAAGACAGATACCATATGATTCCACTAATACAAAGTACCTAGAATAGTCAAATTCACAGAGATTGAAAGCAGAGCTATGGTTGCCAAGGGGCTGGAGCAGGAGAAATGAGAGTTGTCCTTTGTTGGGTGCGGAGTCTTTTCTGTGACATGAAAAGTATTCTGGAGACTGGTCGCACATCGCACAACGATGTGGACGTCCTTACCACCACTGGACTGCCCACTTAAAAATGGCTAAAATGGTAAATTCAATGTCTTATGTATTTTATCCCAATCAAAAATAGAAAGAAAAAGAAATCTGGTAGTGTCAAGGCCAAAACAGATTTCATAAATGTTTCAGATTCCCAATTATTTTTTTGATGGCTAGTGTAGTAGCAGCTTATATTTTATATTCATATTTATAGGAAGTGCAGAAGTTGGGTTGCGTGTCAGATTTTGACTTTCACTCTTTTCTCACCTAAGACCCTCATCTGAATTTCCAGCCAGACCCCCTCCCCTGGTGGCAGCCCTTCGATGGCAGACATGGTGGGGTGCGGCTCCCCAGCAGTCGAGCTGACGTGGAAGGTGAAAGAGAAGGAAGAGCCAAGGGTGGCTCGGGTTTGTGGGGTGAGTGCGGGAGAGCCGTTCACCGGGGGAGGATTGGGGAAGGGTTGGGGGCAGCAGAAGCTGCACACTCTGAGTGTCTAGTCTATGCCAGGCTCTGTGCTAGGCATCGCCTGACCATACTTCCCTTGTCCCTCAGCACAGCCATAGAGGCTAGTCTCCTGGCCTTGCCCCTCAGAGAAGGAATCAGAGCCTCCAGGGACTTTGGCAGCCCCCTCGAGGTCACCCCACTGGTATGCGGTAAGAGGCAAACTTGGAGCCAGGTTGTCCTTTCAACTATGCCCCTTGAGGACATGATGAGTTTGGAGATACAAGTGCAGGCTCAGAGGCCGTGGTGAACGTGCTTCCGAGGCTCGGAGGGAGAGCCCGCCTGCCAGGGAGGGGGCTGAGACCCCGGGGTAGGACGGACAGGCTGTGAAGAGATGAGATTTCTGCAGGAGCGCTCCTGCTGAGAGAAGAGAGCCCTGAGGAAGCCTCACAGAAGGCGAATCGACAAAGGGGCCCGAGAAGGAGCATTCAGAGACAGGAGGAACATCAGGGGAGGGTGGCTGGTTAGGAAACAAAGGAGGAGAGGACTTGAAAGGACAGTGAGGCCATCCCTGTCACCTGCCTTGTTAATGTCAGGGATGAGGCCTGAGAAGCAGCTGCTGCTTTGGCAATAACTCTGGCATGCCCTGTCCTCTCCCCCTGATAACTGTCCCCGAGCCCAGACTTGCCAGCTCCCAGCACAGCTCCTGAGTAGCGGGGTGGGCTCTTGGGCCCCAGGAGGGCAGGGGCTAGGACGGGACCACTGGTCCCCGGCACCGAGGCAATGTCGTGGCACAACGTGAGTGCTCTGTAATTCCTCCTTGAAGGCCTGGCTGAAACCAGCCCTGTGCTCTCCCTCACCTGGCAGGCGGTGCGTCCCAGCCCCCTACCCCACTGGGCAGAGGGGAGGACCCGCAGGCTCTCTGCAGTAGCAGGTGATTCGCGGGCAAAGTTGCCTCAGCAGCACTGTGAAGCCTCCAAGGCTGCCTCTGACCTTGAGCCACCTTCCCTTCTGCTTGGCTAAGCACTGAGTCATTTACTTGTTTTTGCTGCCGCTCAACCCTGGAGCAGTGGGTTGAGTGCAAAGAAGACATGACGGTTGTTTTATTTGTGGGGAATCGATTTCCCTCAAATAAGAATTTAACTGGTGGTCTGCCCTGCGCCAGGGGATGGTGTCGGGGCTGCAAGGAACACAGTGGGGGCTTCCTGAGTCAATGCCCAGGAAACAGTGAGCCGTTGGAAACAATGTTTTCCCCACAAACATGGACTGCAGGAGAACCAGCATGGCCTGGAAGCCGGGACACTGGGTGAGTCCCACCTGAGGCACTGGCTGGCCATGGGGCCTTGGGCAAGTCACTCAACATGCTGTCACTTACCGGGTACTCTTTCTGGGCAGCTCTCCTCACCTATAAGATGCCGAGATGACCTCACCTCCCTCCAGGGCCCAGATGGCACCCACTGGACCATGGGCGGCTGAGTGCCGCCAAGGTGCATGGTGGTGGGGGACATCTCCAAGCAGAGACGACCTCCTGGACCCATGACAGCCTCCCAGAGCATTTGTCCCCAGAGCGGGGCCCAGTACTGCCCTGCAGTGGCACCTCCACCAGGATCCCTCTCATTCCAGCTCTTGCGACATTGGCCAAGAAGGCGCTCCTCACTGGTCCCATGGGAGCCTTCTTACCTAAAGGGGTCTTGGGACCACAGGAGATAATTGCAAAGAAAGTGCTCCGTGCTGGGTCTGACACAGAATGGGAGCACACTACATGTTAGCTATTATAATAGTAAATACTACTTGGGGCTCAGATCCTTATATCAGGAATAGCTCCAAAAAAAAAAAAAAAAAATGAGAGGTTGTAAAGACCCTAGGGATCTTTCCCAAGGCTCTAGTTGCAGAGATGAGGAAAGAGATCTGTGGGGAGAGAAGAGACTTGCCCTAGGACCCACATACAGAAATGAGACCATGATTCCCCTGTGGGGTAGATCATGGCGTTTCATCTCCAGCTCCTACGAGGGCCCAGCTGGGGCAGACGCCAACCCGTGGCACCCTCAGGCAGTGGCAACCCTGATGCCTGATTTGCCACAGCTCCTGCCCCCAACACGACCCTCCCTGGAACGGAAGTGTTAGCCAGGGGGCTCTGTCCAGAGCAAGCATTCAGTAGAGCCCCAGACACAATTTGACCCAGGCCACGTTCCCATTCTAGGCCTGTTTCGTTAAATGGGGCAAAATGGTCTTTAGGAGCCTCACAGTCCTGACATGCCACGGTCTCAAGAGCGGGGCTCCATTAACCACAAACGCGAGGCTGGAAAGCTCAGCCGACCGGAACCTTCCCCAGAAGTATCTTCCTTGGGAGGAACAGGCAGAGCCCAAGAAAGCCTAGTCACCCACTGCCCTCGCATGGTTTTTCCCAGCTTATGGTGCACTAGCGTCTATGTTGTCCTGTTGGCTGCTTCCCTGCTCTACAGACAAGTAGCGTGAGGACTGTCCAAGTCAGGACCAGGGCTCAGAACGAAGGTGGAAGGTCCCATCTAGAACAGTGTTGTGCATGGAGTGTGCATTCCATAGCAACCCACCAACATGAAACAGAAGTGGTTTTGTCAAGGACCCTGGACTGGGAGCCTGGAGCTGAGCCCGCGTTTGTCCCTGTCTCTCACTGGCAGGACCTGCTGCTTTGCCTATAAAAGACGGTCATCGGATGGCAGGTCCCCCTCCCTGCTGAGACCTCGCAGCTCCCCGCCCTCCTTGGGGCACCTAGCAGGCTGGGCTGGGATCTGTGTATGGTCTGCCCGCCATCCCTAGAAGAAAGCGACTCTGCCTTTATTCGTCACCCTGTCTTCCCAAGCCCACCCCCAGACCCAAGCAAAATAGGTTTCTGGAAAAAGGAGGGAGGGGAGAGTGGGAGGAAGGGGCCTGAAGTCCCTCCAGAACTAACATTGCACGAGGCCACGAAGCTAGGTCCTAAAGCAAGTCACCAAGGGTGTCTCCTAGGTGGGACCACACTGATGGCGGAAACACCATGGGGAAAGCAAAGGGAATGAACTTCACAAGTGAAATGCCATGTTAACCCCTTTCGGCCCAGGCCCAGTTGACCTCCCAAAGCACAGGTTCTGTGGGTCCACGTGTGCGAAGGCCAGGCTGTGTGATGTGGAAGTCCTGCCTTCCCTGTGGGACCCTCAGTGATGCTGGTGTCGGAGGCCATGACGCACTTCCATCTGCAAAGCTCATCGGTTCCGTCTCTGTGCTTTCCAGCCCGGAGCCTACAGTTCCAGACCAGGAACACAACGTAGCAGGATTCCGCAGGATTCCGGAGCAGAATGAGGAAGGGATCTTATAAATAACTCCTGGTTAAAACGGAGCTGAAAATAAGGAGACTGGAGAGGAAGCAGATTGAGAAGCACGGGTTGAGTCAATACCATTGGTTTGAAGACCTTCGTGCAAATGGCTGGTCCTTCTCATGGGAAGATCGCACACAGGATGGGACGGGGAGGGGCCGAGACTGTGTGTGCGCCTGAGGACGTGTGTGAAAGAGCACGGCTCCCAGCTCATGGTGTCGCAGCAGAGATGCTAAGACATGGGGCTTGCGTTAGATCTCACGGTGTCACTTGAGGGACTCCAATCCATTGGAGTGACTGTGGTTAAGATACTGGACCTCCCTGTGCCACTCTATCTTCACAGGAAGGTCTGGCTGCTGGGTTGATCTGTAAGCTCTGAGATTCTAGATAGTAGCTCGCGGCTGAGGCTGTAGGATAAAACCCTGGAAGCCAAAAGTGAGTTAAATCTTGATGGTGCTCCCATGTCCAGTCTCCCTCATTTCAGTCCTGGGGGGCCTTTAGCTACGACAAGGCCACTGCAGTGTGTGCTCTCCCGAATGCTAAAATTGAGTGCAAATGTGCTTTATTTACTTGCAATCCCCCAGGCCCCCCATCTCAGGGTGTGGCTCGGCAGCACGCTCCCCGTGGGCAGGGTAGGGACACGGTCCCCCCGGCCAAGGCCAGGGAGCTTAGCACGCAGCCAGCTCTGCTCCATGGGGGGAACCCCCAGCCCTGCCTCCGGGTCCACACCACCTACGCAGGAAGTCGAACGCCGGAGGTAGTGACCGCCTGACCGCCAGGCGCCCCCAGTAGCACCCGGCACAGAAGGGAAAGGAGGTGCGTGCTTCTCCTCGCCGGGTGGCCGGCTGGCCGACCCGCACAGCCCTCAGCAGCAGGTGCAGGTGCCCGTGTGCACGCGCAGGATGCCTCGGCTGTGCAGGTGCAGGAAGTTGAAGATCTCGGAAGGCATGGCGTGGAAGCCGGGGCGGGGCTTGACGTTGTCATAGTAGTGGTGGGTGATGTAGAGGCCCGAGGGGTTCATGGGGAAGGCCCAGAAGCCGAACAGGTGCACCTCCTCGCAGAGCTCGAGGGCGGCCGTGGCCAGGATGAGGCCGGTGCTGATGCGCTTGGCGCGCACCCCCAGGCTGAGCCAGTAGCGCGACACGTTGACCAGGTACTGCGGGTGGAAGTAGTACACCGCCTGCGGCGACTCGAAGTCGTCCAGCACGTACTTGACGCGGATGGACACATCGGTGTTGCGCGTGTTGTAGAAGGCGGGCAGCAGCACCGATGCGTTCTCGTACACCTGCAGCACCCGGTAGAAGGGCCGCCGCCACTTCTCCAGCTTGTGGAACCTGGGCGGGGCCAGAGCAAGAGGTCGGCAGCCCACTCCCCAGGCCTGTGCCCCCCCCCCGGAGCCCCCGCTGCCCCCACCCCGCACCCCGGGACCTCTTGGGAGGCCGCGGGGACTCAAGTGCACCCTGCTGTTCCCCATCATTTCCTTCACCCCCGAAGATGAACGCCCTGCCTTTCTCGGGGAGGGCTATTTTGTGTAAGTGGACCCAGAGGGACAGCAGTGCCAGACAGCTGTGCTTCACCCCCAGGGATGAGGGCGTCCCAGGGTGGCCTCGGCGGGGAAGGAGTGAGGAAGTGGAGGCTACTCCTGGCGTCCTCGGGCCATTCACCTGTACTTTCTTTCCCAAGGTCCCCAATGAAGTGTAGGGAAAAAGTCTGCCTGCCACCTCCTTCCCTCCTCCCCCAAAGCCCCTCCCTCACCTCCTCCTTCACCTTAAAGTGTCCTCCCGTGGGCTCATCTCCCTCCTCTCCAGTGCTCCCTCACATTGCTGACTCTGTAAGTGACCTTGGGCATCTGACCCGATTTACCAGCTCCTCATCCTCTGGTCTCTGGCTGTCCCCCTTCTTGCTCCTAGCCTGACCTGGAAGGTAGGACTGTGTCCCTGCTGGAGTTTTAACCCCTTAACCCCCTTCCCCCAGGCCTCCCACACAGACAGAGCCCAGGAGGGGCACTCGGTGGGGGCTGAGATCTTCGCCTGAGGCTTCTCCCCAGAGCCACCTGGACACACCAGCTTAGGAAGCTTCCTGCCCCCATCACACACTGGAAAGCTTTACGGCCCTTCTAGATGAAGCCTGTCTGGACCAGTGCTGTCCAGGGGGAAATATAACATAGGCCACATATGGAATTTTCAATGTTCTAAGGATCACATTTACATAAGCAGAAAGACATGGGTGAATTAATTTTTGTCATATCCTATTGAATGCTTGCAATGTTTTCTTTAACTCGATAGACCCAAAATACTACTATTTCAACATGAAATCAATATAAACAATTGAGGAACTGTGGCCCATCATCTTTTGCATGGTAAGCCTTTGGAATCAGGTGTGTGTCTCCTGCTACAGACAGCATCTGTCCATCTGGATGTCACATGTCCAGTGGTCATGGCTCATGGCTACTCTACTGGGCAGCAGGAGTCTGGCGGAGGCTCACTGACCTCTCTGTGATGATGCTGGGGTTCACAGTGACCACGTCCGTCTTCACGCCCACATCCATGGTGTACTTCTCTGAGATGGGGGGTAGGTTGCACCTGCAGAAGACACAAGGCAGCCTGGCTGTGTACGCTCACTCACTCCTCCCAGAGGGCGCCGGAGCGCGGGCAATACGAGGGCGTGGGGAAGGCAAGATGGTACTCCCATGGGCAGAGCAGTGCCCAGGCAGCCAGCAGGCTGGAATCTTGGAAGCCTGCGCATAGAGGGGCAAGTTCAACTCCTTCCCCTCCCACTCTGAATGGCACAGTGATTATGGATCCCTGACCCGTGAGACCCCACTAGAGCCTCAACCCCAATCCCTTTGCTTTAAGCTTTATTTTCAACCCATCTTCTGGATCCCGAAGTGAGGATCACCACAGAGATGAGGGGCTCCAGCTAAGGAAGGAGAAAATACAAGGACCAGTCTCCAGCTTAAAGCCAGGGCAAAGCCAACACTGGTGTCAGCCACAAGGCTGCACAGGTTCCAAGCACTGCTTTTGGAAGAGTAGAACTCAGCCGGGAAGGTGGCCGCCCAGATGGCCTCTCCAGCAGATCTAGCCAGCCCCTGGGAGTGTTCAGTGTCCTCACACCTGCCAGGCTCTTCAGGTGCCTCCCATTCTGCAGATATGGAGACTGAGGCCCTGAGTTTCAGCCACTGGCTCTGAGTGACAGGGCTGGGGAAGGTAGAGTGTAAAGGTGTGCAGGGATGGGGAGCGGGGACCCATCAGCTGAAGGACAGCATGAGGGCACGGGGCTGGGCGCCAGCAGAGGAAAAAGCAGGGAGTGGGAGCACCAAGCGGGTAGCAGGTGCAGAGCCAGGGCGATTCTCTTACCGGAAGACAAAGTCAGCACTGTTGATCTCCCTCCCACAGCGGCTGTTCTTCAGGATCCCCCCATTGCCCACCACTGCACACTTCTTAAACTGGGACCGGTAGTAGGGCATGTCCTGGGGGAGACAGGTGCACAGCGGTCAGAGGCGACACCCTGCCTGCCTTCTCCCACTGCCCTCACCCCTGTACCCACGGCCGCGTGCCCAGCCAGCCTGGCAGCGACTATGGGGGGAAAGTGGTTATCGCACTTTGCAGATGAGAAAAGAGGTCAGGACACTTGTTCCCAGGCCCCCTGGCAATTACAAATAAGCTGGAGGAGAAGCCAGGTCTCCACTGCCTTTTCAACCAGCCCTGGCATGCCTCAGGTTTCCCGAAGGAAAGCACAGGTGATGGCCAGTCCTGCTTGCTTTTGGTTTTCCCGATGTTTGGAAGTTCATCTTCTGTAGGACTTCCCGGATGCATATTTTATTGGTTTATGAAGATGTTGTTGGGGGATGACCGCAGCAGAAACAGGGACAGGGGCCTAAACCCGACCCTCACCCCTTTCAGCTCAGGGCCAGGTATACAGGGAGGACGCAAGCCTGGGACACAAAGAGACCAGGACAGATGCTGGAACTTGGCAGCAGCGGGACTAGAGACCAACGGCTGAGGAAGCAAGGCCACCACCGGGAAGCAGTAAGGGCCTAGAACACCTCAAAGCTCGGCAGAGAATGGGCTCTGAGTGCGGGAGAGCCTGGGTCTCACCCTGAGTGACAGTGGCACTCTCAGGAGCCCTGGGAGTAACGATCTCACAGCAATTAGACCTTGTCATGGCCTGACTGCTGGGGTTACTTTGGTCTAGGCTCTGGCTGCCCACAAAGGCTCCATGGACACACCCTCCAGGGGACCACAGACAAGTTGGCAGGAAAAAGCAAACGTTGGCTGGCCTGACGGTAAAATGTCCTGGTTCTGTCACGTCCCTGCTCTAGGTCATAACCCCCTCCTGGGCAACCGGAGGCAGACGGAGCCCAGCAGCCACACGCATGGCACAGACAGAAGCACAGAGCCAGAGTCAAGGGTAGGGTGACCAACCACCCCAGCTTGCCCACGACCGGGGAGCTTTGCATGCAATACAGGAATTCGCTTGGGTCAAACCAGGAAAGTCTAGGGCCAGCCAGGATTGGGTACCTGAGGCAAAAGCCCCAAGGCCAGCCCTGATTTTGCCCCAGCATGAGACGAAGGAGCTATGGACAAGTGTTCTGAGTTCTCAGGAACTCAGATTTTCCATCTGAAAATTCGGATAATAACACGCAAGTGTCACGCTTTTCAATGCGATGGTGTAGAGCAGAGTGTCTCAACTTGGCGCTTGTTGACATTTGGAACCAGATCATTCCTCGTTGTGGGGGACTGACCTGGAGCTGCAGAATGTTTAGCAGCATCCCTGGCCTCTCCCCATTAGAGGTCAAGGGTATCTCCCCATCTTGACAAACAGACTGTCTCCAAACACTGCCAAGGGTCCCCCACGGTTAAAAACCACTGGTGTAAATGAAAAGCCTGCCCAGTGCGGTACTTGACCCAGAGGTCTCTCTGCATGGGGACCAGGCTCCTATCACAGTCACGAAGCCCCAAAGCTCCCCCCTGCCCAGGAGCCTGCAGGGCAGCTCCCCTCCTGGCACACTCGCAGCTGGCCAGCCCTGAACGACAGCAGCCTAGCGGCACCTTGGGCTTCCGGTGGGGCCTGCTGTCAGGTGGGGTCATGGAAAATCACACCACAGTGGACCAGGAAGGAGTCTAGGTCTGCAGGAGAGGCTGCATCCGCCTGTGGGAAGCTTTCCCGCCAGGCCCATTTTCCCTGGAGGGACGGGCCCAGAAGCCAAGAGGGGGAACAAGGGTATCTCAGAGCCAGTGGGGAAAACTGCACTGTTTGACTTCTACCAGGGAAAGGAAAAAACCAAAGTTATCTTTGGAGAGATAGAGACCTTTATGTTCTATGTCAGTGCTTCCCAAACTTCTGTACATCAAAAACAACCTGGAGTACTTTCTGAAAATAGAAATTCCTGGGCTCCATCCCAGAACCATGGAATCAGAATCCCTAGGGTGAGGGTAGGAGCCCGAGAAGCTGTATTTTATACAAACCCAAAGAAAGACTTACCCTGAGGCAATACTTCTATATCACAGGCTCTGAATTGGGGAGGGAGGGGAGCTCATTATGGCCGGTGGGCCACATCAGACCTACCTGTTTCTGTATACCCCGCAAGCTAAGCGTGGATTTTATCTTTATAAGTGGTTGGGGGGAAAAATCAAAACAAGAAGATTTGGGACATGTAAAAATTAGATGAAGTTCCCATTTCAGTGCCTAATAGGAGCTAGAGTGTTCCTGGAGCCCAGCCATGCTCGTTGGCTTACGAAGGTCTGTGGGGGCTTTGTGCTGCTGCCATAAAGGAGAACAGCGGTGACAGAGAACATATGGCCGGCAAAGCTTAAAATGTTTACTCTCTGGCCCTTTCCAGAGAACGTTTGGCAGCCCTGCTCTAGTTCCCCGGGACTCGGCAGTCCAAACCCACGGCCCTCCATGGACCCGTATGTCATAACCGAGCTGGGTGTCACCCACTGGCACCACCCGCAGGAGAAACAAATCCACCTGCCGTCCCTCGCCTCCTGTCCCGGGCCTCACAAGACCCACCTCGTAAAGGTGGCTTGTATCCGTCGTCCTCCAGCGCTGTGATGGGGGAGAGTCTGTGTGACATGTCCCCTCCTCCAACTCCCCCACCACCGCTGCCCCCACAAGACCCAATGTTATCTGTGTCCTCTGTGCAAGCAGCAGAACACAGGGAGCCCTGGCTGTGGTTTCATGAGCCCTTCTGTGGAAGCAGGGCAGCCCAGACCCTCAGATTCCATCTGGAAAGACCTGAACATGCCCCCATTCAGCACGCCTACACTCTGGAAAGACCTGAACATGCCCCCATTCAGCATGTCTACACTCTGGACCCACTAAGTCCTGCTCTGGACCCAGCCCTCTCCAGGAGGTGCTTATATAGACATCCAGCGAAATCTTCCTCCTCTTCAGAGGGTAAGCATCAGCATGAACTGAAAATGCAGGTTACAGGGCCCCTGCTCGGAGAGTCTGAGGCCACGGTCAGGCCCCAACGGAGTGCCTATGTTGAGCCATCAGTGACGCATTCCGTTCATGCAGGGGGATCACTTACACTGGGGTCCCCCCGCTGACCAGGGAGTCACTGTCCTAGCTTTGAAGAACAGCCTACGTCCAGATTTCTTTTATGGAAAGGAGAACAATTAACATCTACCTTGTTCAAGTGAGATTTCCTGCCACACCTATTCCTAGCCCAGGGACAGGGAGACTGAGACCTTGGAAGACATCGTAAGTGCCCAAGGTCAGCCAACGTGAGATCAGTCTTTCTTGCTTTGCTTTCTACTGGTCTGTAATTTCTTGGGCACACAACCTTTGCATGAACATTTTTGCTCCTGCTTCTGCCTCTCATGGGGGGGACAAATGCTTAATTACCCTCCCAGATAGCTTCAGGCTATCCTCGGCAAGCAAGGCAATAACCAAAATTTGACAAGCACTCTCCTGCCTGAGTCACTCAAAGAGTAGCTGGTTGGCATTCACCATGCTCAGATGGTCTACCGAGCACACCAGAGCCAGGACAGTGGGTGCGGAGGGCCTAGCAGATGGATGCCATACCCCGTGGGCAGAGCCACTTAGGGCCGTGTGGGGTCGCCCCTTTGTCCCACCCAGGCGGCCCTGCCCAAAGCGGCACCTTGGGAAACATGCGGAAGATCTCCTGGTTGATGTGGTAGATGCCGCTGGTGTCCACTTCGTACTTGAGCTTTGTCCCCAGGGGAGTGTTCTTCTGGGTGGTGAAGAGGAAGGAGGGCGCATTGCAGCACCTGGACAGAGTGGACCTGCCAGGCAGGAGACAGAGCGGGAGAGACAGGTGACACGGGGCAGAGCCAAGCCTCTGGAAAACGGGGGGTCATGGAACTGAGGCCCCTTAAGATGGCCAGGAAGCCCCCACCCACACCTTCCCGCACTCACCCCCCTCCCCACACCTCTGCTCACGCTGTTCCCCCACCTTCAACACACCTCCCAATGCCTGGGCCTTTCCTCCTCTCCTCAAGCTGGCCTTGCTCCCTGAGAGCTCCTGGCTGCCCACCCCACCGACCTCACCAGCCTCTGAAGACTGGAGCACAGACCGGATACCACCCACTTCACCACCTACAGTCTCTCTCCCCACCCGAACCAAAGCCCCTTGATGGCGGGGACCCTGCCAGTGGACCCTGTCTGGTGTTAGTCACACGAGTGTGGACAGCCAGCTGCTGGCCAGCCCTGAGCTAGTCACGCCTCACTCAGGCGCTCGTCAAGGTCCACTGGGCATTCTGCTACTCGCTGGAAATGCTGTTTCTCCAGCCTCGATGGAAATCTGGGGGTACCGAGTTCATCCTCGGGTCCCTGGCCCGGATCAGACTGTAAACAAGGCATTTCCCCCGTCTCATGGGGGCAGAAACCCAAGACAAAATGATCAATTTCAATCATTTAGAAAGTGTCTTGGGAAGGAGGGGGGACGCGGTCAGATAGAGGGCTGGTGGGCTGGTGCTGGGCCACTTCCTGTGGAGAGAGGAGTCTGACTGACTTCCAAAACAGGTTCTCAGGAGTTCACTGTTTCTAAAAATAAATAATAAATAAATAAATAATATAAATAAATAAATAGAAGCCCCCTGGCTTTCACTCACAAAAAAACCACTCAAACAAGCTACAGAAGGTGTAAAGCTCAGATGATGCGAGCAGGCGTCACAAAACTAAAAAATAAAAAAATAAAGGCTCCTAGGGAGAAGGTGGCTGCAGAGGCCAACCTGGGAGCCGGCCTGGCCCGAGAGGGTAGGGTCATCTGTCATCCTTCTGGCCGCAGCCAGTGCTCCCCCTGGTCACTCACTCTCCAAGGCCTGGTGAGGGGTCCAGCCCTGGGCCCTCCCCTCCCCTGCCCTGGGGGCCCAAAGCTCTCCCCACTGGCTGCCCAAGGGCTAGATCTAACGAGGCAGGCCAGCTGCTGCTCTCTCACATGGGGCTTTGAACCCACAAGGCTCCATTTCCTCCGGAAGCAGCAGTGAGGTGCCGTGTCCACACTGGCCTCCTCCCCCCAGCACTAGCTCCAGGTGCGGTCCCATGCAGCACCTAGGTGGCCCCAGGAGGGATGGGACACCTACCCCAAGGAGCCAGGATGATGACCACCAACAATGTTTGAGGAAGAGCTTTCTGGAAGCTTCCCCTCAAGGTCTGGGATGGAAACATGGGGTTGCCACGCTGCTGTCAAGAGGCTTGGGTTCTAGTTTCTGCTCTGCTCCCACCAGCAGTGGGGCCTGGGGCAGGGGTCTTCCCCAGACTGGACCTCAGCTTCCTTGTCTATAGGATACAGCCTTGCGGGGCACCTGGGTGACTTAGTCGTTAAGCGTCTGTCTTTGGCTCAGCTCACGATCCCAGGGTCCTGGGATCGAGCCCTGCATTGGGTTTCCTGCTCAGTAGGGAACCTGCTTCTCCCTTTCCCACTCCTCCTGCTTGTGTTCCCTCTCTCTGTGTGTCTTTCTCTGCCAAATAATAAATAAAATCTTAAAAAAAAAAAAAAAGAATTCAGCCTTGGCCCTTCCGCCTCTGACCTCCTGTAATTCTGTGATTGTAGGTTGCCAAAGCCAGGAAGGTTATAAAATTATTTTTTATGACTTTCTCTCTTGCAAAGATTTCACTGGGGAGCTCAGCTGGCTGCTGGTCACAGAGAGAGGTCTTTCCTGTGCAGTGTTGAGTTTCAGAATGTGACTAAGGCCTCCCAGACTGGGGGCCAGATGCCTGGCCAGGCAGAGGCCATGGGTCAGTATTTAGCTTTGCTGGTCCAGAAACTCAGTCTTGTCAGCCTGATGGAGAGTACTTCATTGAGGGGAAAGAGGGGGGAGACTGACTCCCATTAACCAAGCTCACAAGTGACTGATATATAAACCAGAAGGCCAATGCGTCTATTTGTAGGCAGTAGGGTAGAGGAAGGCCTCAGTTACAGGACCCCTCTCCTACAACTGGAAAGCTCATGTCCATCTTCTAGCACACCCCTCCCACACTGCACATTTCACTGTGATAGGCTCTTACAAGTCTAAGTGAAGAATAGCATCATGGTTCAATGAGCTTGTGACAAGAGCAAAGGGAGACAACCTACCGGCCTTGAAGTTTTTCCATTTAGAGCCTAGCAAGGTCTGATGGCCTCTCCCTTCCCCACACCTGAAACTATTCCCCACGCCCACCCCCAGAAGGGTGTGGGCTCCCCTGGAGCCTCTCCCCGGGATCCTGCTGACTGATCCCTGCTGAAGGGATCCTTGTTTTTCTCCTGTCAATCATCTTCCTGTTGTTTCATTATTTCCTTAGACATGAGGATCCCACCAAGGAGTCTTCCGTGCTGCGCTCAGCTCTCAGCCAAGAAGACACCCTTTCACATCTCCCTGACCTCCTCTAGGCAGGGTGTTGATGAGCTGCCTGGCCAGTACAGTGCCCACTGTGGCACTCCTTGCTAAGTGGCAGATTTGGGGGGGCGCACCTGCCGCACAGGTCTTGGACCCATTCCCTCCTCCCAGCACTGGGCTGAAGTTCATGTTTGACTTTTATGATGAGGGGGGTGGGGGGAGGGAAGGGGTCAGCACAAACTCCTACACAGCCTCGGACAGGAACCCACAGTCTCATTGAGACCTCTGGGGCGTGGCTGCTGGCATCTGCTCTTCAGGGATTACCACGTTAAACATCCACATTTCTAAAAACGTGCCACTTAAAACTACAACTTGGTCTCTAGACAGGGCCTGGAACGGCGGCAAACTGGAACAAATGACTTTTAAGTTAAAGACAAAATGCTGAGTGTCATTTGCTTCTTGAAGCCTCCCGAGTAGGTGGGCCATGAGCCCATGGCTCCTGGGTACGTGGGAACTGCCGCCTGACTTGCCCGCATCCGGTTCCTGCCCACATTCCTCAGCTCCCCCCAATTCCATTCCTTGAGCTCTGTCTGCACCGAAACAATACCATGAGCTCCCAGAAGTTCAGCGAAGGAGAGAACCCTACGATCAAAAGGAATTTGTGGACATTGGCCAGCTGCTTAGCTCCCCCAGAGAGGAGAACCTTAAGCTAGGGCTCTCACCTCTCTGGGAGCTGATAATCTATTGCTTTGAGTTGGAAAAGAGACGAATCTGCAGCAGGCCTCGGGCTGGGGAGCCCAGCATGGTTCTGTGATGGGCTGTCGGGAGACAACAGCTCTGAGGCTGATGTGGGGCCCAAAGGCCATCATGTGGGGGACAGCAGCCAGCAAGGTGCCCACCTCAGCCTGGGCACAGAGTCAGAACCTCCCCATGGCCCAGATCCCAAAGCCCAGCCGGGGCCAGCTCTGGGGAAGATGAGCCCGGGGTGGGGCCCTGCGGGATGGGGCGGCAGAAGGAGGATGGCACCCGCGGAAGGGCTGGGAAGGGCAGACAAATCACAGATACTTGAACTGGTTGGCTTCCGAGATATTCATCGCCCATCTGCACATCTGCAGGCTCTTCCATCTGTCGAACAGCTCCGACTGCTTCACCCTTGGGGAGTGGAGGACAGAAGAGCACAAATAAGGGCCAGGCTGGACAGAGCGTCGGCATTCCCAAGCCTCCCTTCCTGCTCCCCAGGTGCCGAATCCTGGTGTGGACCTTTACATGAGCTGTGTTTTCTTATTTGGGGTATGCTGGATGCCCCGGCATCTGGGGTCCTGCTCATTCCTAGACAGAGCCAACTGCTCTCCCGCAAGCCTGCCTGCCACCTGCAAACCGGCCAATCCCGAGCTGGCAGCCTCAACATCAACGTCGTCCATGGAGCCGCCAGTCTTAGGGAAACTCAGGAACACTCCGAATTATAGACAAAATCCCCAGTCTGTCTGCCCATGTGCTATCTTGGGGGAGAATCTGAAGCTTTCATTGGCTGCCCGAAGAGGTCTTTGATTCACAAAACAGGGCAAATACTCACTTCGGTGTAAAGTAAAAACCAGGCTCATTCTGCAGAGCTAGGTCCCCTGTGTTTAGCTGGAGGGGAAACAGCTGCTGCCCAACTGTTTGTATCTGTAGGGGGAGGTGCAACGCACACATGACTGGTGCGGAGATAGATGACTGCAAGAGAGTCATACAGGAGAGCAGCCGAGCGCATGGATTTAGGAACCAGAAAAGGAGCTGGGCCCCAGCCAAGTTCAGATACCTCAGGGACCTCAGACAGGTAATTGACCTCTCAGAGCTTCATCTTTATAATGAACATAATAATAGATTATCACTCACAGTCCCAGATTTGTTAAGATTATTAAATAAAGTGATGCAATAAAGGGCTAGGCATGGGAAGTGTGCACAGAAATCCCCCGAGACAGGTAAGCTATTTTTATGGTCAAAGAGCATCACCTTGATGATGCTCACTCACCATGCCCTGGATTTCCCCTTTTGTAAAACCCATAACCCGTTCCTACCCACTCCTGATCCTTCCCACAAGAAAGTAAATACTGCAGGGGCAGGGGGGTGGTGCCTGAGTTCACCCCCATAAATCCAGTGGTAAGGCACACGGCAGATGTGCGGGACATAGGCACTGAGCATATCAATAAATTGGCGAATGAAGCCATAAGTCTGAGTTCAAATAGAGTCTGTAATTATTGATTGAACTCCTCTATATGGCAGGAACTGGGGCTAGAGCAGAGAACAAAACTGCTCCCTGTTCCCATGGAATTTAAATCCTAGAAAGGAGGCAAGTGGAAAACAGGTATGTATGCACATGACAACAAGAGCACAAAAGACAAAAGCGGGACTGTGTCAGACTACAGCAAAGGACCACAGCAAAGCGAAAAGTCAATGTAAAGAACGGCACAAAGTATTTGCAGACCATGTATCTGATATGGGGTTAAAATCCAAAATAGATAAGGGGCTCTTACAATTCAATAACAGAAAACCAAATAAACCGATTTTAAGATGGGCAGAAGACTTCAACAGACATTTTTCCAAAGAAGACATCCAGACAGCCAACAGGCACATGAGAAGGCGTTCAATATCACTCATCATCAGGGAAAGGCAAATCGAAAGTGCAACGAGCCATCCCCTCACACCTGTTAGGATGGCTAACAGCGAGAAAACAAAAAAAAGATCACCAGCGCTGGCGGGGATGTGGAGAAAAGGGAAGCCTGGAACAGTGTTGGTGGGAACGCATACCAGTACAGCCAGCACGGGAGGCAGCATGGAGGTTCCTCCAAAATTAAAAATAGAGCTACCATATGACCCATCAGCTCCACGTCCGTGTCTATATCCATAGGACTTGCTGTCAGGATGGGAAAGAGCTCGGTACGCTCCCTGTTCACGGTGGGACTACTTGGTAGTAAGCAGGGAATGGAAACCAGCTGAATGTCCCCCTATGTGTAAAAAGAACGTGCTATGGACACACAATGAATATTCTTCAGCCTTTCACGGGCAGGAAATCTGCCATAGGTGACAAGCTGGACGAAGGCAGCAGACCTCATGCTGCGTGCAATAAGGCAGTCATGGAACGATGTACATGGCATGAGTCTGCCCGTGGAGCATCTACGCAATCTCCGAGAAACAGGGAGTAGAATGGTGGTTGCTGGAGGCTTTGGGAAGGAGAAAGGGTGAGCTGCCTGCCGCCCCACGGGTCTAGAGGTTCAGGTTGATGAGGTGAACAAGGGCTAGAAATCTGCTGTACAACTTAGTGCGACATTTAACAATACTGGATTATACGCTTAAGAATGGGTTCAAGGGGCAGATCTCAGCTCAAGGGTTCTTACCCCAACTGAGAGAAAGAAAGCAAATAATAATGCCATGTCAGGGAGAGGCGAGGGCTCTGAAGAAAAATGAAGCAAGGTAAATGAAGGAAAAAGTGACTGTTTCAGAAGGGCTGGTCAGGGAGGGCTTTACTGAAGAGGAGAACTTGGCACAAAGAACTGAAATGGTTAGGAGGGAGCCATGCAAGCACCTGGGGAAGGAGCAGTCCAGGCAAAGAAAAAAGTGAGTACAAACCCACTGGGGCAGGATCTTAGTTGGCCACTTTAAGGAGCTGGAAGGAATCCCTCTTCTTTCCAGGCTGATGCCTTCTTTCTGGCTTCCACAAACCTCTCACATTAGCCTGCCCCTCTCAGGCTAATGTGACATCCGAGGAGATGTCACGGCCCACCCCTGCCTCCCCCAGGCTTCCCTCCCCTGCTTTCCACAACCCACAGGTCCCTAGAGCAGCACCTGACATGGCCAATGCCTCAGACACCACGTGGAAACACAGTCCTCGCAGGACTGTGGGCCGGGGTCCTAGGTCCAAATCTTACCAGCATTCTCTGTGCCTCCAATACCTGTCACACAATGGACTAAGGCTGGGACCTGAACACCCAACCTTGAATCCTGGCTCCATCCCCGACTTGCAGTGTGGCCTTGGACAAGTCATTGAATCTTTCTGAGACTTGGGTGCTTTATCTGTACAACCAATATATAACAACCTCTGTCCTGCTAATCTCCAGGGTTGTCAGAAAGATCAAATGAGATGATACGCATAAGAATATTTTATAAATTGATTTGCAAATGTAGAGATCGCCTTTCCTTTAAAAATGAAGGGTTGATCCCAGGCTCTGATTTCCTTTCTCTGCAGACACCACTGAAATTCCAGAAGAGGAACAAAAATGTTATATAGACCTAGAATTGATTGATGGAGACGGGGGAGTTCAGAGGAAGACAGATCTTGACAAGTGTGTGAAAGGAGGACGGGGGGACATATGGAGGGGTGACATGGCCCAGAAACAATGTCCAACCCCACGGAACATTTTTAAAGAGGGTGGAGGGTGGGGATGGGACATGGTGCTGAAAAAGAGCATCAGTTGTAAGTCTGTACCCAGAACCTTCAAACCACAGCAGCCAAACAGTCAGTGTCCAGCAGAGGGAGGGGAGAGACTGAATCAGACTATCAGTTCCTACCAAAAAACAAAAACAAAAACAAATTATCATTCCCAATGAAAAGATCTGGACATCATAACAGCAAAAAGAGTAGTGTCTCCAACAAGGACTCTTGAAGAAGGCCTGCTCTTCAGCTTTTTGTTGTTCTAAATGTAAATATGAATCAGATGAGCAAGGGTCACCTGGCCAACTGGAAGGAACCAGATGAAGAGAAACCATCAGTTAAAATATCCAAAGAGAAAAACAGTGGAGGAACAAAATACAACTTTAAAAGAGTCTACTTAGTGTCTCTAGAGAGCCTAGAAGACACGACACCCTTAAAGATAGGAATAGATAGCTCTGAGGACAAAGAAAGAGCGCTGGGGTAGGGATGAGTTTGCTCAAAGAGCTGGAAAATGAAGTCAAGGACTTTTCTCAGGAAGTGGAAACAATGGGCAGAGACAGAAAAGAGGACATCAGACAGGGAATGCTACACGAGCGATCCAGAAAGTTGGGGGTGCGACTCTTGGAAGGACTGGAAAGAGGAAGTAGAGAGGAATGGAGAGAAGGAAATATTTTTAAAAATCCAAAAGAACATTCAAGAGTCTGGACATGAATCCCAGACGGAGCGGTCCGACAGGTGTCTGTCCTGAAACCCACCCTCCAGACATTTCAGAACTGCAGGATCCGGAAACAGTGCAGAGAGAAGAAAACAGGAAACCTCTAAAGGAACAAGAAGCATCATGCTCTCATCACTCTGGACGCTAGAAGGCATTGGAGGAAGTCTTTAGCGTTCGGGGGGGAAATGGTTTTCTCCCAAAATTCCAACACCACCAAACCAATCATCAGGTATATGGGAAGAATTAAGTGATTTAGACACAGAACTCAAAACCTGACCTCCTACCCATCATTTGGAAATGACTGGAAGATGGGTAGAAACAAGAAGAAGCTATGGGCTTTCCACAAGAGTGAATCTCAGCTAAGAGGCAGGGAAGGGAAGTTCCCAGGACAATGGCATGTGGCCCACCAAGAGAGCAGCCTATCCACGCTGGAGAACGAGGATAAAGAGAAACCCTGAGGGGAAGGTCTGATTGGAGGAGAGGCAGGCAGAAACCCCAGATAGTGCATAACAGAGACAAAGAGTTCAAGGGGGAAATGATGAGTTGATGCTCCAGTAAAAAAAGGGGAGGGGGAGGATGCACAAGAAAGGACATAAAATAACTATTTCCTGTTCTTTAAAACTTGGAGTCAACCTATAGAGCAAACCCGAAAATAGGCTCATTATGGGTACCAAGAGAATGTAAACGTTATCAGCCTTGACCTTTTAAAGGTAAATGCACTGATGACTGGAACCAAAACATAGGGATAATTTTAAAAACCCCATCTTACAAAGTACAGGCTCAAGAAATACTGCCAGTATTTGGCAGAACCAAAAACAAGTTACTCAGGCAATCTAGAAGCGGAAGAACTAAAAATAGCAATTCTCCCCAACCCAGTAGGGGTGGGGGGTATCGTAAGGGGGCTGAACCCTCACCCACCGAGGCCGGACATCAGTGCACGTCGTGGTAAGTCAAGAAACAACAGCAGGGGTGTGTTACTGAGAGCTGTGGCGGTAATGACCAGAAGGAACAGCCAGAGTCGAAAGGAGCAGGGCTGGGGGGGGGGGTTGAAGGCATGGGGCAGGGGCCTGTGGCTTCTTATTATTACCAGCATCTCTATCCTACTTGATTTTTCCCACCATGTGCAAGAGATGGTGAGGATAGGAGGTGATCATGACCATCTCTGTTCTTCTTTCTTCCCCTTTCCTCCGCTGGCCTCCTCTGTCTCCACCCAGCTCTCATGTACATGCCCTGCCCACTCATTCGTGTCACGGCCACATCCTGAGCCCGTGCACACTCGGGGACTCCGAGATGCATGGGCATGAACGGGCCCCCAGCCTGGGTGGTCCTGGCTCCCAGACTCTGTTCCTGGGTGTAGCGCAGGCCTCCCCGCCCCAGAAAGATGGGGAAGGGGCAGCAGGAGAGGGCCTGGGGTGACGCCCCAAGCACCAGCCCCACCGGGTGGGAACCGGCTCAAAAACCAAGAGGCTCTAGAATGACTACATTCAAACAAATAATCTGTACAAGTATTAGTGAGGATGCCCATCATAATACATCACCACAGAGTGACTCCTCCTACTTCTGCCATCGTCGGGACTGAGGCCTTCTCCATGTGGGAATTTGCCGGCTGACTGGTTTCTACCAGCGTTTGGAGCAATTTTGGACCAGAATTATTCCCAGATGAATCCCACCCCTCCCTGTTGCCTCCGAATGCCAGCTGTCATTCTTATACCTTAAGGGCCTCCCAGCCCAGCCGCGCAGCCCCCTCCACGCACATATGGCGACTTAACCTTCCTCCAATGACTCCAATGACTCAGAGTCTCCACTGGGAGCAGTGCGCATGGCCCCGGGCCAGTGAGGCCCGCAGGTACCCAGATGATGCTAGGACCATTCGAGTCCGAGGCTGGTCTCCGGGCTCTCTGATGTCAGACCTGGAGGTCCCACTGAACCTCAGCTTGCCAACCCAGGAAAGGAGGCACTGCCTCAGGCCCATGCCTCACAAACAGCCTCCGCCTTTCCTCTCAGAGCCCCAGGGCCACTGGGCCCAGGCTCCCAGGGTCTGGGGACCACAGGGATGTGAAGGAGACAGAGTGGTGCAGGGCCCAGGGGTCACCAGCTGGGACGGAGCTCAGCTCAGGAGACCAGAGCAGGTGGCTCAAGGCAGAGAGGAGAGTTCAAGACTAACTTGCTGAGCACCAGACATGCATCCCTGATGAGGGACAAAGGTGGGCACCGACTGTGGGAAGATTCCTCACCCCACTCCACCGCACAACGTTGTGATGCAGGGCGTGGTGGAAGCTGGGATAGGGACTCTCAGGGTCCAAATCATCTCTCCTTCAAAACTCTTATTTGCGATCCTAACCTCTGAGATCTCAGAATGTGACTCTTTGGAGACAAGGTCTTAAAGGAGGAGGTTAAGTTGAAATGAGGCCATGAGGGTGGGCCCACATCCAGTATGATGGATGTCCTTATTAGAAGAGGAAATGAGGACACAGGCAGGTACAGAAGGAAGTCCACATGAAGGTCAAGGGAGAACGCGGCCATCGGCAAGCCAAGCGGAGGCTTCAGCAGCCAGCCCTGCCAGCACCTCGATCTCAGGCTTCCCACCTCTGCAGCTGTGGGATCTAAAGTTCTTGGAGGGCCTGAGGTCTTTGAATTCTGGGAAAAGACAAAGGGTCTCTGCTTAGGAGCTGATGAATTTGACTCATGCCTGAAGTGTGGACAGCCACATTTGCCACTAAATCGCAACTCCTCACTGATCACATCACACACGCCCCACTGCCACCTGCTTAAAGCCTTCCATGGGTTCCCGCGGCCCTCGGATAATGACAGAATCTGAATCCTGGTCCACACTGCAAAGCCTCATGAGGTCAGGCCCTGGTCTGGCCCTCCAGCAACACGGCTGCCTCATCTCCCCTCTCACGCTGGCATTCAAGCTGCCCTGACCCTTCAGAGCCAGGGACACAGTGGGCTTTCTCCTGGCACAGGGACTTTACACAGACTGTTCCCTCAGTCTGGAACCTGCCTGGCCTACTTACCTCTTATCAGCCTTCCAACGGTAGTGCCAGCATCCCTTCCTCAGAGGAGCTTTGCCTGACAACCCCCTCCTCGCCCCAGTCCAAGTCCAGTTCCCTGCCATCCCCTTGTCTCCCTAGGGTAAACAAGTATTAATGTCCACTTCCCTGCTGGGCTGTGAGCTCCATGAGGGCAGGGACCAGGGTGTGTGCTCAGCGCAGGGCTGGCTGGGGCTGATGGGAGGGGGACCTGCCTTACACGTTTACCTCTGGAGAGGGTACAGAGACCTTTGGTTGGTACCGGGACCATAACGCAGCTAAGCCCAGGGACACGTCCTGGGAGCTTTCCTGCAGCTGTTAAACTTACAGATTCTGAAAGACAGCCCCGAAAAGCTGCTGCTGCTGGCAGTGGTTCCAGAAGCGGAAGAAAAGGGAGGGAGGCATATGAACATTGAGGCAGCACCTATTACATGTGCTACTGTGGACGCGGACCAAGGGGCCATCTGCTCTCACATACGCTACTTCTTGTAGTCTCTGCGGTGACCCTTAAAAGTTGGGTAACAGTATCCTAATTTCTATAGGTAAGGAAAGGCTCAGAGAGATTAAGTAATTTGTATAAAGATGCAGAGCTGCTAAGATCCCAGGTCTGACAACTCCCCAGGCGCATGCTCCGTCTATGACCCACACTACACAGAAACTGGGTCAGATGGCAGAAGGCGCGGTGGCTTCTGCCCGTCAGCCATGGACCATGGTCCCAGGGATGGCTCACGGGCCCACGAGAGCCCCCAACGCTAGTTATAGATTAACTATAGTCCTCTTCCACATCCAGGTAGAAATGTTTTCAAATACACACGAATTTCATTTCAAACCAAATATCACGACGAGTGCGGCAACATTCCTCTCAGTGGGTGGTGAATTTGTGGCAGTGCCACGTGGGAGAGGAGGGTGGTGGAAACCCATAGTCACTGAAATGTGCTGCCTCTAATGTGCTTTTTCTCCTATAGGTTGTAAAAAAGCCATGGGTGTTCTGCTGTTGGGTGAGGAGCAGAAATTACAGTTCTTTTGTGATTTGTGAGCAAAATCCTAATAAAGCGTGTTTGTGCACAGGTGCTGGTTGAAGCAGATTCCCTGGGGGAGTGCACCAGGACACCCGTGCTGCCTCTGCGGGGAACCGAGGGGCTGTGAGACGGGGGTTTTTACTCTATGCCTTTTTGTACCATTTGAATGCTGTATCATTGAAATAATTTAAAAAATACTTAATTTAATGACTATAAAAGGTTGAAAAGATGATAGCAAAAGGGCGCTGCTTAACCCTCCGCTCAGAGTGCTGAATTTTGGGTAAGATGCTCCTGTGCTCTCTTTGGCTTCCATGCAGGAGTTGCCCAGGGACAATCTCATGGAGCCTGGTAATTGAGACTGGGACTGAATCCCCTGAGTCACCAGAGGTGACCTTGCCAACTTGGTCTTGTTTCATAAAATGCACAATTATCCCTGCTCTCCAAGTGCCAGAGGCCCGGGGGAAGGAGATCTCATTCTCCCTCTATGGGGTGCCTGCCCCATCCCACGCCCCCTCCCCCGGTCCTGCCCCATCCCACGTGTCCCGTCCCTGCCACCATCCCGGCCACACTCACATGGACAGCACCTTCACTTCCAAGATTTCGTGCCTCAGCTCCAGGCATCTTGTGGAGTTATATTCAAATGGGCCCTCGTAAAACTCAAAGTACCTAGGAACCAACAGGGACAGAAATTACTATATGAAGAAGCCAGCCAGACTTTGGGGGGACTATGGGGCTCTTGGTGGGGACAAGTCAATCCTGCTCAAATTAATAGAGCACACCAGACCCACCCCGGCAGATGACCTCATAGGGGGTCCCCAGGACTGGTGGGGCCCTCTGGCTTGACCACAGGGTGGTTGGTTACTCACAGCACCCCACTGCCGCAGGAGTCTAACCCTTTACAAGGCATGAACTCATCTCAGCAAATCAGGACATTCAGAAGAAGGTTTGGCTGCAAAAGGGAAGGGAAAGGGAAGGATGCCCAGGGCATGGTCTCATTAGCTTCGGTGATTGGTGCCTGATGGAGGCGGCACGGGGAGTCGGGGTGGTGAGACCCAGACTTTCAACTTTAGTCCTGCCCTTTCCTGCCCCTTTCTCCTCCCCCCGGGACACAAACACAGTGAAAATCTGCTGCTTTTTCCACTTGTCAGTAGCTCACCCGGCTCTCAAGCTGTGACTAGGTGAGGCTGACGTTTCTTTCTCCCCATTTGGCAGCTGAGAAAGTGGAGGCTAAGGAGATAGAGCTCAGGTCCCACAAACAGGAGGACGGGGCCAGGCTTGGGCTGGGTCCCACCAGAGGGAAGCCCAAGCCCTTCCTAATGCCAGCTGTCTCCAGGCCTGCCAGAGCCACCTCAGGGTCCCTCCTGCAACTCCACACAGAAGCCGATTCTAGCCAGTGCTTGCTGAGCCCTTACCTAGGACCAAGTGCTTGACGTGGGTGCACCCACTTGTTACTTTTCGAACTAGCCTATGAGGAAAGCAGTCGGCATATGCATCTGGAATGAGCTCTGCAGTAGCCCAGAGCCACACAGATGGTAGGTGGCAAAGCTGGGACATGAGCCTGCACATTGACTTGAGGCTGCTCTTGTCCACTCACCTGTAAAGACAGCTGGTGTCCCCTGAAAAGGCCCTGTGGCCTCCCACAGTCACTGGGTGAGGAGACCTTTAAAGCTGTCCCCTGAAGTTCCCACAAGCCCAGAGAAGAAAGAGCACCTGCAGACATTAAGCACAGTTCACTGCTGAACGCAGCCATGGAGGCAGGATGGGGCCAGCCCTCGTAGCCTCTCTGTCCGGAGGTTGCTCAGAAAAGGCTGGGGGGCTGGATCCCAGAACAGTTCAACACCAGAGAAGCCTGCAGGGTCAAGACACTCTAAAAGTGGGGTCAGTGGCCTGGGGACAGGTAGCTCTGGAGAATCAGATGAGCCCTCAGGGCTGCTCCTGGGAGCTGTGTGCCGTGACCCAGGATTTAGAATAAAGTCATTCCTCCAGCACGTCCCAGAAACCTTCCCAGCACGTGGGGGCAGTTATTTCCCATGTGTTCTCACACGCCTCATTTCTGTGTACCAACTCTTGGATGTGCTGCTCTATACACAGAAAGGCATTTTACCCAATAAAGTGGCTTTTTACAATACCTGCATTTTAAATAACTTCTATATATCGTATCATATTTAACACTTTAAATATGTTTTAAAATATTTGTTCATAACTTTCATATAATTTAATAGTTAAGTGTTAAAGTTATGTTTTTAAGTAGTTTTAACTCATATATGTATGTGTGTGTATATATTATATCATATGCATGTATGTGTATAATGATTATACACATACATGCGTATGATATATAGATAGATAGATAGATAGATTTATTTATTTAACAGAGAGAAACACAGTGAGAGAGGGAACACTAGCAGGGGGAGTGGAAGAGGGAGAAGCAGGCTTCCAGTAGAGCAGGGAGCCCAATGCAGGGCTCGATCCCAGGACCCCAGAACCACAACTGGAGCCAAAGGCAGACACCCAACAACTGAGCCACCCAGGTGCTCCATTAAAATATTAAAACATTTTATATAACAAATTGTCTCTTACTGACAAAATGAAATTGACTCCTTATTCTCATGCCGTGAAAGAAATGAAGTGGAGTTCATAAGAACTAGGCATTGTGGATTTCCAAAATATCACACTCACCTTCTTCTCCCTGTTTCCCCATGTTTTGGAATTCCTTTGTCTGTCTTTCTCATCTGGCAAACCCAAATTTATCCTTCAGTACCCAGCTCAACTGCCCCTACCTCTGAGAATTTTCTCTGACCCTCACTCCTGGGGTCCCTCTTACTTTGTCTCTTAATTAGAACAACTAACACTGTATTCTAACAGTCTGTTTATGTATCTGTTTTCCCTTCCAAACTGTTGTGAATATCTCAAAGAAAGGACTCTGTCTTTGTTAGCTCTGTACCTTTTGTACTACAGATGTCGTGAAGTGGAAAACTACATTTCCCAGACTCCCTTGCAACTAGGGTGTGGATGTCATTTAGGTTCGACCAGTCAGAAGCATTTGCATAAGACTGAGTCAGAGTTGTGTTATCGGTAAAGAATAGCCAGGCTCCAGGCACTGTTTTGCTGGTGCAGAATGTGGCAGAGGTGGCATATCTCTTGGAAACTGCAGTGGTAGCAGCATCCTCATGATTATATTCTTATGTAAATATATTACATTTATTATTATATATTATTTATTATTATATATAAACTACAGTGGTAGCATCACCCTCATGATATTATATTTATAAATAAATATATCATATTTATTATTATTTCTCCTATTTATTATTATTATATATTATATTCTTTCCCCTAAATAGATCCCCTTCTGCTTTCACTAGCTCAACGGATTTGACTACCTATAATTAAGAATAAGGGGTCAGCATGAGGCCACCAGAAAAGTCCATGACCTTGGCTGTAACTGACATCATTTTCCAGTCACACAACTGTAAGCAAGGTCTGGTGTCTTATCACAAAGATCATCGTTTGCAACCAGAGCCATTGGCACTATGTCCTTTGGAATCCACTGGGTCATCTGAAGCCATGATCTCAGGCTGCTAGTAAGAAAAGCTCCAGATTCAAATGGTGCAGGAGTTAGTTAGGAGAAACTTACCCCACTGGTCTTGGGGGACTAGAAGTCTTGCAGACACATCTTTGTTATGCCTCTAAACCAGCTATGTGATGTGGGTCAATCACTTAACCTCTCTGGGCCTCTGCTTTCTCCTCCTTAAAATAATAGCCAAGGGCCTACCCAGCACATAATATGACCCCTCAGTGTTTCCCACTCACTAACCAAACCAGAATGTAACTGTGGAATGATGATCCACAAAGACAAGGAAGAAACTCTCAAAGACCAGCCAGCCCCTCCACTATCTCCATCAGGCGCGCCCCCTTACCTCTGCCAGACTCCTCTCAGTCTCCCTCCCTGCTGAATCGCCAACCTTACCCCTCCAGGGAACTGGGCAGTACAGTGATTCCAGATGGTCTCGTGCCGTGTGTTTGGTGCCCACTCGGTGGACAGGCTTTCAGAATGGGGTCACATTCCTTCCCCGCCCCTCATAAGCCACCCCAGGCCCATCACTTTTATGAGCCTTACTTTCCTCATCTGTCACATCCACACACACAAAAGTACCATTCATGTGTGACAGGGCTGAGAGAAGATATTGATGAGAAATTTGGGGAAAGTCCCAGGATAGTGCCTGGCACACACCAAGCACCCAAGAAATGCTCAGTCCTTTCTTTCTCCTTTCTCTTGCCATCAAAGGGCAAGAGTCTCCAGGGAGTCAGTGACCACTTATGGCCCTGCGGCTGGCTGATGGCAGAGCTGGGTCAGGCACGAGTAACCTCAGGAAGCTTCTCTGCCACCTGGACAGGCCGGCATCCTCCTTCCACTGCTGCCAGGAAACCCCCTCCCCTGCCACCCAGCAGGATAGAGCCCATGTTGCATTCTGCTTGGATGCGGGGATGTCCCTGGTCACTTCTCTGCTGCACACTCCATGGATAAACTGTGTTTCTGAGGCTTTAACCTCTGGGCCTTGTTGACCCTGGAAGACCACCCCACCCAGGGCTAGCCGATTCCTGGAGACAGGAACCACCTGTGAGCACCTTTCCTATGCAAACAAATCAGTCCAGAGCTCACACACACACTGCACCACTTCCCAAGAGGGGCTGCTTTCCCCCTGCCCTGATCATCCCAGGGCCAGGTACCAGACAGCTAGGGCAGCCCCTTAGGCCCCGGAGCCCGCTGAGATCATTCAGACTGATGACTCCCAGGCCTGTGTACCTGTCTCACCTGTTTCTTCCAGAGAAACCACAGTAGAGGCTCTTGCCCACTTTTTCCCTTCACTCCCTCTGCTCCTGATCCCACCTCCCAGTATTCCCCAGTGTTTGGTGTGATGTGCCTCCTGCTTCTGAGCATGACTATAAAACCCTCTTCCTTCCTGCCAGTGACTTGCACGTCTGTGTGTCTCACCGTGCACGACTATAACGAAGCCCAGCCACCCTGAAAACACTCCCCATGGTACCTTGGCCAAGCCATCAAAACCACTCCCTGCCTGGGGCGAAAGCCCTGGTTTTCCCAGCTGAAAATGGAGATAATAGCTCTTGCCTGGGCTCTGCTTCTCTGGGCTGCACTTCTCCATCCCTGTCTCCAAAGATAATGAACTTGAGGAAAGGAGATTGTAACGAGGGCTTCCAAGTGTCCCCCCGCGTTCTGCTTCTGACGGAACACCCAAGCATGGCATTCTGGGAAAAGCCGTGGTAATCCTTGTTTGGCCTGGACACAGACTTCTATGCAGACATCAAAAATGAGGCTTCCACTTTCTTTGTGGAATGACATGGGAAGATACTCGCAGGACAATGCTGAGTGGAAAATGCAAGTTACAAAACTGATGTCCCAAAAGAATGGGACGCACACATGTGAATGCGTGGGGCGAAGGGACGGGTCGCAACAAGGCACTAATGGTGGGTTTCTTTGAGTAATGGGACAATGAACAATTTTTAAAATACTTCTCTGTATTTTTATGTTTCCTGTAATGGGGTTATGATTTTCGTGTTATTGGAAATCACCAGTAAATGCCCTTTTATTTAAGTCCTAGCTCTCCCTCGAAACAGCACAAGCTCCGCCTTGACCTGCTACA